GGACAAGGGGGAATGGCTTTAAACTAAAGGGGGGTAGATATGGACTAGATATAAGGAAGAAATGTTTTATGTTCAGGGTGGTGAAGCACTGGCACAGGTTGCCCAGAGAGGTGGTGGATGCCCCATCCCTGGAAACATTCCAGGTCAGGCTGGACGGGGCTCTGAGCGACCTGATCTAGTTGAAGATGTCCCTGCCCACGGCAGGAGGGCTGGACTAGATGACCTTTAGAGGTCCCCTTCCAACCCAACTATTCTATGATTCTATGATTATATGCTTGGGACACAAAAGTACAACCCTCCCTGACTACTGCCCCATAGCTTCTCACAATTATTACTTTAAGGATTTCTGGTGCTGAATATTGTCTCCAGATTATCATATTCTCAGCATTTTCTCTCAGATTTATTAATATATGTGCAACATCTTCCCTTTATCCTTGGCATTAAATCTTTCGAACATCCCTTTCTTCCTCCTCCTCCCAGGAATTTTAATCTCAGAGGTCTAAGTTCTTCAGCTGCTTCACAAACATTATTTCAATTCAGACAGGCACCCATGCAGTGAGCAATGAATCAAGACTGTGGCTATGAAGCGTGAAGCAATGTATGCTTACAGCACTAAAAATAATAATTCATTACACAGATTAAGCCAGCATTTCCCAATCCTGTCCTCAGAGTTGTTTCAAAAAGGATCATAGTAATAGCTGGGAGTGGGGAGAGAGAAGGTTGGCTGCGTGGTTTTGCAGCGTGGTTTTGCGTGGTTTGCAGGTTTTGCACTTAAACAGCAGGTTTAAGTGATCAACATTAAAAATACAGCTGAGATCTTTGTATTCCTATAAAAACATACAGTCAAAATTGTTAATATATGGTTAACTAAGTAGTGAATGACAGACTGTCAAAAGAATTGCTTGGGGAACAAAAAATCTAAATAAAAAAAGTTTACATGCAGTTTTATAAGTAAACCATCATTCTAAGAAAAAAGAACAGACCTGCTAAAACTAAAAACAACAGGGCTGTTTCAGTTGCCTCAATAAAAAAAGAAAAATCACTGCAATGAGTCAGAGGCCCTAGAGACCATCACTATATATAGGAACCTCCAGGTGTTGGGAATAAATGAAGGAAACTGTGCTGTGTTCATGGAGGTAACATGGAATTTATTGGTGGATTTGTTGGAAACCTCCCCGCTGCAGGCTGAAAAGGCAGAGAGGGTATCAGACCATATGCGGGCATTTATAGCAGTATTAAGATTTTTTCTGGAACCAATTTGAGAGAAGAAACGTGGCATACAATTATTGTGACTATCATACTTTCTGGCTGTAGACTTTTGACATAAAACGAGGGAAGAAGGCAGCTGATTCTTTAGAAAAGAAGATTCTTTTCCAGGTGCACAAAGGAGCAGCAAAACTTTGCCAATAATAAAATAGGTAAAATATAACTTCCTGAATCTCAGATTTGCTTTTAGAGTAAACACATAGGCTGCTTATCAGGTAACTCACTAGTCCTCCACGAGGAATGATCATCACGATAATAATAGGTCTTTGAACATGAAGCTAGGAAAAAACATCACCACAGTCACAACACAGGTGGAATGAGAATGTTCAGGTATATGAAAGAGCAACAGTGATGTACATACCGATATAATACTAATTCATTTTGTCCTGTTTGAGCTTCACTTTGAAGAGGTAAATTTTTCCAGAAGAATTAATGTCCTGATAAATATTCTTACATAGTTCTTGTGTCGTTAGACTGTAATACCTCAAAAGTTTCCAGTAATGATTTTGGGGTTTTTTGGAAAACTATTACAATATTTCTACCTAAAAAGGATTTCTATTCCAATTAATCTGTACTGAAAGTCATGTTTGCATGGAGACTAAACACATGCTCCTAATTTTGCAAAATACTGATCTCGTTTGTCCATGTTTCACCAGAATTTTGTTCCTGGCATGACAGATAGTATAAATGCATGCAAGGGAACAGCAACAGCATAAGGAACTACACTTTCAGACTTAAACTGAACAAATATCCTTCAAATATCCTTATACTTCAGCAATAGGGATGCTTATGAAATGCAGAGGAAGTCCAAAGCAAGGTAATGTCTTGGAGTTCTACATTAAATCTTACACAACATGGACACCCATCTTTGAGCAGAAAGGACGTGCTCATGGGACACAGAGTAGCAACAATTCACATTCTGAGTTACAGAGCAAGATTTCACCAGTGCTATTTTTGGAGTAAAAACCCTACTTAGTTTCAACAACACCAACTCACATTTGCACCGACTATCTCCTCCCATAAGCCATTAACAAATAAAATGCCATTCCAAAGGTTGTTTTTTCCATTTCTATCATCACAAACAGATACATAAGATATAAACACACGAGCCCAACTGATTCTAGCAGTTATGAAGCTTCAGAGGGCCCCATTTTATTTTATCATGCAATCACATAGTATTTACTTTCATATTATAAAATACAATGCAGGAGGAATTTACTCAATTAGCAAAGGCTATAATATAGCGGACATGAACAGGAACTGAGAACTGCTAAAAACAGAGCAGGCAGCAAACCAAGAATTACACAAGATGATATACCAAGACATTGACTAAAAATCAAGATTCTCTCAAATCTTGCAATACAGCACCTTTGATAAAGAAGCATCCAGTCTGTAGCAGCTCAAAAGAATACAGGCTAGGAACCTAAAGGAAGGTGGCTGGATTTTCTAAACATTGGGAGAACGTTTTTTTTAAAGATGGTTTTGCACTTAAATGAAAACTATCTGAAATGAACTGAAGATTTTGATTCCATGTGCAATTCAACATTCTTGCTGATTTCCTGCACCTCTACAAATGCATCTTCTGTTTCTGCCACACAAATCCCATACCATTTGAATGGCAAGATTCACTTACAGATGCACTCATCAGAAGCAGTAGTGTTCTCACTACGTACAAAATACTCAGAAACATCCATCTGTAAAGCTGAGTTCATAAATTTGTGCTGAAGGCATTAAGAGCCCTTTCATTGACTTCATTATCTTTTGAGCAGAGTAACAATCTGACTAAATCTTGTTCAGGAGAAATTCTTAAACTTGCGTAACAGCATAAAATGAGAAAGCACACCATAGAATACAGGAGTGGATTTGTTATCTTGTGCTATCACTGATTAGTTTTTTAGAAACAAAATGGGAACCTTGAGAAAATAATTTAAGAGTTTATATTTTTTTAGATGACATACTGGATGACGTATTTGAGATACACCCTATTCATGATTCACTTTTTATTTCAAGTGCAAAGACTTCCATTATGAATAATACCCAAGAAAATATGATTTTTTTTAAATGTTATAGTTTCTCAAGTCTTGAACCCTCTAACCTTTTCTACAATTTTAGAGTTACATACTTATTGTTAGAAATTTACCACTGAAAACTATTAAAACAAATGACTTACTAAACCAAAAGAGTGAATAACTGTTCCTAAAACCAGAACAGAACAAATAATGAACTATGCTACTACAGCAGTATAAACTCAGGATTACCTTAATTGCTTTAGAAAATTACCTCATGGTAATTTGACCCAGTAGAAATTCATCATTACAGAGTTGATTCGTTGAGCTCACAGGCCAGTAAAGCCTGCTCTGCTAGCAACTGTTATTGTTGACACTACCTTCAACCTTTCAAAAAGAATGAGGTACCCTGAACACCACCACTCCTCACTTCTGCCACTTCCTAACACTTTCAGCTGTGCAACCAGCAGTACAGTAACTCCTAGTTCCTCCTCCATCTAGTCTTAATGACGCTATCTTATCCCACAAATCTGAAGTCACAGGATACAAACGAACAGAAGAAAAAACATGCACAAACAAGTAAGCTGAGCAAAGTAAACAAGTAAGCTGAGCAGAGTTTGTTATTTTATGTAATTTTTTCATAAACAGCTTCTTCACCCCAAATATACTATAACAAGCTCGATGTATCAAAGAGGATCTTAATGCTTTTGTTCCTCTCCTACAATCAGTAGGCAAGGGTGCAAAAAGCAGCAGTTAACCACTTCTGAAACCACAGTATAATTACAAAACGTTAAAAAACCATAGATACTGAAAAACTATTACACATCTTTAACTATGTTTTTAACACATGAACATTTCCCAATCAAGTGCAACATTCTTACCTCACTGTACATAAGTCATCTGCCCTTGATGGATGTGGCAAACCGCAATTAGGTGTTACTAGTCCATTCAGATCAGTTTCTTCTGCTGAATTAAAACAGGTTTTACATTTGTTATTAAGTATTTCTATGCTTTGATAACTCCCATAAGACTAACAAAATGCATCTGTAAACTCTATGAAAACGTGGTGAGAAGTCTTATGCAAGCTTTATTTGTAACTCAAAACAACGATCCATTTAATTTTTGTCTCCATGTCAAGGATGAGTTTGAGAAAGCCTAAAATATATAAAATAAAATATTTTTTGAGGGACTTTGAAAGATTATGCAGAGAAACTAAAATATTATGAAGTCATACTTTATGTCCTAGAAAAATAAGTTCCGTGGTAATTATCATGCTGCAATTGAAAACAAAACTAGGAATTAACAAGTAATTAAAATGAGGCGAGAATACCCAAATAATATTTTGCTAGTGCTGAATGTTCTAGCTGTACTTAAGTAGGTACTGATGTCAATAACGTATCTTAATGCATGAAAGACTGCTTACATAAGAAGTAATACATTGCTTTTGCTTATTTAATACACTGTTCCAATTGCTATTCTAGTGAATAATCACCAAAAAAATAAAAGTAATGTTAATAGTGTCCAGATCTCTTACACAATGTGTAGAAATGTCCAGGTATTTACTCAATGTTTTGCATATGCCATAAGTATGGTATACTACACCTAACTGTCTTCAAATGTCATTTAATTACAGAAAACCACGCTACAGTCATGGATTTCAGTGTTAATTACTCAACACTTAGCCTCACAATGTATCAGCCTTAATTACAGTGAGATGTAGGTCTTAATTACAGTGAGATTAGAGCAAATCAACATTGTATAAGTGGCAGGGAGAATTTGCACTTGAATAGCTGAATATGTTCCACACAATAAAGAACAAAATTTGCCATTATCCGGAAGTGAGCAAAGACAAAGCAATGCAATATTAGGTTTCTACCTGACTACAAGCAGGATACTGGTAACTGTAACAACTTACCTGTTTTACAGAGGACAAGTACTGGTACACCCAATAGTGCACATACTTTTTCAAAGTCAATGAAAAGAAACATAAAGAGACCTTCAGGACATTCCTTTCTTCCTCAACACAGAATGGGTTAGCATGTAGGCAAAACGCTGGCATTTTCCCACTCATCTGAACTGGAAGCTGTGTTCCTGTCCTTTACCTCCCTGAACACACTTTCTACCTCTGCAGGCTTCAATATTTGGTCCATCAGTCCTCTCTGGGCCCATCACTAGATGGCACTACCAACAAAATACAGATGCATTCTGCCACCCTGATTACACCAGGAGTTCATCTACTCCTACTTCGATGGCGCATGTCATTAATCATTAGAAAAAATGAGAAAAAAATTAAAAAGATAACCAACCGAAGCTGGTGACACAGTGCTCTCCAACATGACGTAAGCAGCCCTGCATCAGATGCTAATACAGGAGGAAACCACAGTATCTCTTGAATCCCCAGTACCTTACTGCAGTAACAAGGTTTCCTTTTGGATAACTCTACCTAAATATTTGGCAAGTCCATTTTTATTTGTATATCTAACAAAATCACAGACATAACACAGAGTGAGGACATAGCTGTTAGTTTTGTTTTCACCTTAAAAATCTAAAGTTAAGGAAAAAACAAAGAAAGAAAAACAAACAAGCAAACATTTTGTTTGCATTTTCACAAGATTACTGAAGTCAAAAGATAAGAGTTTCATAATAATAGCTTTCCAGTACTTTTTAGACATTTTTTGTTCATAAAAACATTCTATGAAAACAACTATTAAATTGCAAGGCCAACTGCCTAAAAGCAGAAATTTTCAAAATAAGAGGTCTACGCTGCTTGAATTCAGCCCTTTGGTACATATATGTATCCGAGACCTCAGACGATGATTAAATACATTTTGCCATGGTCCTCTGCCCCCAGTAGCACACTATTGTTCATTGTGTTGCTCAGTGAAAGAATATTTCAAAAGTCAGCTTTTTTCTTACTGCACAATGCAGGTCTTGGGTCATTCCTTACAAATTCCTTACAAAGTATCCAAGCAGTAACCCCGGTGTAGCAAAAGAATTACTGAAGTCCTGAGAGTTCTGTAACACTCATTGCTAAAGTATCTGTGCTTTCTCAACTTAACACTTTCTGTAACATGTCAAATATTATCTCCATTGTGGAGACTGAAAATTGAAGTACAAAAAAAATAAGGCAAAAAGTTTCCACTAACCTTGGTGGCCCAGCTGGAAAGCCAAGGACCTAATTTTTAAAGAGTTCTCAGCGTTATATATTTATTTTAATTACTTACATTTTCATTCGCTATTGATTTCAGTTGCTGTTGCGAGCCCTCAACCCCACGACCTCCAGTCAAGCACCGTAACTGGCACCATGTGCTTTCTGAGCTCCCAGCAGAGCACTCTGCACGGCTGCTCAGTGCAACAGTGTCCAGGTGCAGACAAACCCCAGCTTTCTGGTGAACAGACTGGAACAGGGCTCCAAAAGAGACAAGGAAAGCTAGCAGCGGGGTTTAAGAAGATGCAGCTACAAAGACACTGTCGCTAGATGGAGAACTTGACACATGGTCAGATTTTGTTGTTATTTGCGGCAGTATTGCAGCAGGTTCTCAACAGGCACAAGTCAAGGCCAGATTACAAAACTGCATGCAATTGGGATCCCACCCATGTCAGGAACAAACTTTCATACTTCTCCATGAACCAATAATTCAAAGGAAATGTGACATTCTGCTACTGGATTCCAGGTATTTGCCAACAGCAGAGAAACAGCAAGAATCTGGGAACTTACTTTCTAGTCATGGCTCTAGATGTTAATGCAATCACTTACAAACATGAAGCAGCAGAAAACCCCGATGCTTTTTCTTACCATCCCTTAAAAACTTTCTGTGAGCCAGCTAAATCTCTTTTCTGTCCAATTCTATTGCAAAGCTATTAAAAACTTGTTCTAACTATAATACCCTCAGTCTTCCTGCAACACCTTGTTCCCTCAGTAGATTCCTCAGTCCTGTTCCTGCTCACCCGTCACTCAAGGTGCCATTGCACACCCCCCCTCCCTTTTCACCCATAAGCGAGTTCCAGTTTTCATACTGTTATACCTTCAACAGGAAGGGCTGAAGACTCCTCCTGTGCCTTGGATTCCTTTGCTGCTTTGATTTTTGTACAGCTGGGTGCTGGTTGACTCTCTTCAAAGAATTTTCTTTGCAATAGCACTGCGTATTTTACCCCATCTATCAGGAAAATAAAATCAAATAAAGTAAATTCCCTGGTTTAGACTTCATTGCTTAGTCTCTGGTTGGGCCACTCAAATTTTGAGCAATGGTTTTCCCATGGCACCTCTTCCCCTTTTCCTACTATCTATAAGAAGCCACTCACACTTCAATTCTGTTAGTCTAGAGATGAAAATCACCAGTTACTGAGACTTACCTCAAAGCCCACAGAAGAATCTAGCGTAAAATGTTCTCCCCGTGTACTGTACAACAATACATATTCAGAAGAAAATATTGGGGCAGCTGAGGCTTGTGGGAACTTCCAGAATGCTCAGCCTGCAGAGGAGGCAAACAGCCCTGCTAGTGAGCTGAGGGGACTTCTCCATACAGACTCCTCTGAAAGCGTGCAGCTTCGGGAGGGAAAGCTTTTAACCCTTCGTCTTGCCTTCCCCCTGTTGCTAAAATGTAAGGCTGCTCTTGAGAAAATACTGAACTACAAATCAGTTTCCATTCCTCAACAAGAGCTATTCAGGTGCTCAACCCATCTTAAAGAGCAAAACCAAACGCTGTCAGAAATTTCCACCAATTGCAAAGCCTATTTGCTGATAAACCCCACCATATCTGGGCAAACATTTGATTTGTTAGCATCATTTCAATCAAAAGAAACCCAACCCTGTATTAACTAGCATTTGAAATCTTATAACCTCACCAAACCTCTATCCACTGATACACATGGGAAAGAGACAACAATTACAGTATTTTACTAACAAATTATGCATATTTTAATAGTAAAATTAATTTTAACGGTAGTTTCAGGCCATCAGAACAAAGGATACCCCATTTCCTATAGGTTTCATCTCGTGCTTAGTTCTTGCGTATTTATTAAGGATCAAGATCTCATTTCATACATGTCTATAAGAGCCCTAACAGGGTCTCTCTCCCCTAATTAAATTAACTGAACTAGTAAAAATTAACTATAAATTAACTGTCTGAAATCACTGACCTTCAAGCTACCATGGCCAAAATTTAGGCATAGATTCAAGTTATGGGTTTGTGGGAGACAACGAGGGGGAGAAGATGAAATGGAAAGATGCACAGCATAACAATGTGGTTGTACAAGTTTTGCTTCTTCTCGGGACAACAAAAAAAAAAATCCATCTTTGAAAAATGAATACATTCATTACGAACATTACTACCCAACAACCTCAGATAACTTGCTAGTTCTCAAAAGTTCAGATTATAGGCCTAATTATATTTTCCTGCCGCCAACATTTTCAGAAATTGACTCATGCATTCATTAAAACACAAACAAGTAGGAATTATTTTAGTGGGAATGACATATGAATGTCAAATAATCTCAACGATAGCTTATCAATAGGTGCAGTCACAATTTCAAGATATGTTTTATAATGTGCCTGTTTGCATTAGACTTACCAACAGCCTCTGCATCCCCTTCTAGTGAAGAAATAACGTTTGGTTTACTAAGCTTCGCTTTTGAGGAAACTTTGTCCTTGGTATCCCAGATTTTTAAAATTATTTTGTGATCTCTTAGTTTTATTAGATATTCATTAGTTACACCAATATCAACACTATGGTTCCACGATATCCACATCTTGTCATTTTCAAACCATGGTGTAATAGCCTATTAAAACAAAAGATTAAAATCTTTACAGGAGCTGACCAGTACTGAAGAACTTGCATTCACATGCCGACCACTATCACCACCACTGCTCTCAAACTGTGTTTCTCCAGCTTGTGCTGGGTCTTACATGACCCCTCCTTGCTGTGTCGGAGCAGCGTATTTTGTTGGATTCAGACAAAGCAGTCTTATCAAGTCAAGGTCTGATACGAAGACCTGAGGTAAGAACAAACAGCAATTACGCTGTTGCTCGGCATGAGATCATGGACTGAAGACTTAACAAAATAAGCAAATATGAACACTTTAAAATGCTAAATTTGTATTTACAAAATTAAAGCACCAGCACTAAACTTCACATGTATATGCTGGTAAACCGTAGGAACAAAGCACTCATCAGCATTGTCAATATAACACATTTCAATCAGCAACTTCAATCAACAAAGTGCATTTTGTTTAACAAAAACATCAAGCTGATACTCAGAAGAAGTACAAAGCAAAGAAGGCCATTAGAAAGGTTGTCATTCAAAGACAAAACCTGAGAGTATACAGGTTGCTTTAAAACCAACAGTCTCTCTCTCTCAAAAAAAAAAAAGATTTTAGCATCGACTTTTTACAAATAATTTCTTAACAAACCAAGGTATATTCAAAACAATATAGCCAACTTTTAGGTTCCTGGATTTGAATGCGCACAATTCAATTAGACACGTCTAAACAAAACAAAATTTGTAAAATTCTTCAAGTACCTTAAAAATATTTTTCTCCTCAACAAAGATCAGAGGCATAAATTTCATTTTTTTCTTCATCGTTAATAAAATGGAGAGTTGCCTTCAAATTATTATATTATTATCTTGGTACTTGAAAGATAAAAGCTATAATCCCAAGTAAACTGATAATCCAGAGGAAAATAAAAGTAAAATACTCTGAAATCCACCAGCCTCTTACTATAAACGTTAAGAAATTATTGCTGATCTGGACTAGAAGAGTCAAGTTCTATCCTTGATATTTGTTATATATCTGTGTGTGCAGATAAGGCCTAAGCAGCTGTTAAAACAATATGCAATTACCTCCCTCCATATCTGAAAACATTCTCCCACCTTCTACGTATGACATTTTGGATTACTTAGTTTTATTATCTTTCACCTTGGAATCAGATTCTGTAAATAACTTTGCAACCACCCCAAACACCACCAAATCCAGTTTTCTAGGTACGAGGTCATCTGGTAGAAGGAAGTACTCAATGTGATAGCAACGGTGCGTTCTTGGAATAGCTCCCGATTCATCAACTTGAATTCTCTTTCCTTGCATATCACGTGGATTGGATTTCTTCTGCTTTTGTCCTAAAGAGAATATTAGCATTATTTGGAAGCATTAAAAGTTATCAAAGATGATACTTTTAGGGTGAATTAATGCTCTCTGCAATGACCAAATGGTAACAGGCATTCCAGTGTGACAACAGAAAAATGATTGACTGAACACAGATGACTGCTGAACATGAAACTCTCATCCCAGTGCCCAACCCTGCAATTCTTACCCAGGTTTAACTACCATAATGGTCCATAAAGTTCCTGGAACTTCCCCCTTCATCCTCTCTTCCTGCAGCATGATGTCCAGTGATTGCAATTCCCAAGGCACGTATGTCCTGTTACCCAGGGAACTTCCATAAAACAGAGTTCCACACTGCTCAGGGGAAGGCTGAATGTATCTGCTCCTGCTACACCCCAACAGCCCTACCCCACAGGAGAATCATACCCCATCTGTTGAACAGCTGCTACCTTCTCCTAAAATGACAATACCACCTTTAAACTACCCAAAATCGTAATTTGCCGAGTTGAGTATATACGCAAAAAAACACCTTTAGTTTTATTATTAGGCAGTGACCGATTAATAAGGACCAGCTAAGATCAGCAACTTGAGTAACTGTGACTACTGAGTAGGCAGCGGTCAGGAAAGGTTTTCAGTCACTAGTGACAACCATCCAAAGATAAAAAGCTCCCGTGTCCCACTGCTATTTTCTTGAGCAACCTACCCAGGAAAATTCAAATCAATTAACATCTTTTCTAACATTATCTCCTTAAACCATTCAGGACTCCGCCACATGAATTTCTGAAGTAATGAAAGAAGGGTTCTTAGGAAAACCCGCGTCAGGTACTCACCTGAAGGCAGAGCAGGGACAGCTAGCGAGACTGTCAATGTGCAGGTCACAGTATGGCAGCCATCCAGCTCCACCCAACTTTTTTCAGACGGGGGGAGCCTGCTGCTTTCACCCGCTGGGGTCAGCCGTCCACCACCCCCAAGCACCTCTAGGTTTTCCATTTCAAAAGTGCTTTCAGAGCAGATTGTGTTCAAGTCTGTCATCTCTTCCTTATCATCTTCCTCCACCTCCTCTTCTTCCCGTGCATTTGAATTCTTATGCTTTTGCTTTGCCATCTTGATGTGCCGTCGGACAACACTCAAAGGCTACAGAACAGACAAACAGCTCTATTTTAGTGCCAAAATAAAAAACCCCTACTAGAACCAAAGCAGGAGCAAGGAAGGACAGCACGAGGCGGTCCAAAAACTCCCGTTTCAAAAATGCTTTTGAAGTACGGAACACCTATACCCGATGGATTAATTTTTGGACACGGGGACGATTCACACACAAGTCTCCAAGCGACAAGCCAGGCTAACAGTGCGTCACTGCGCTCAGCAAACAGCAACACAAGGCTCAAAAAAGCGGAAAGGGGGTATGTCACCTGAGCCCATAAACGATCGGTTTCTTGCCTAAGTGCGGCGGAAAGTCGAGTTTTGAAAGGAGTTTATTGTTGGGAAGCGGGGGGAGCCCCCGCAGCTGGGCACCCAGGGGCAGGGGCGCGCAGCGACCCC